GTAAAAACATATTAGATATTTGTTAACAAGAGAATATCATTTTTTTGAAATATGAGGAGAGAGAGAAAATATTTATTGCACACCAGTCGGTAAATAGTGTAATGTGTCTTGTCCTATCTTCGGTGCAGACTAAACTCTATCAGTCAAGCTTGCAATGTGGCCACCATGCCACTAGGTGGCTCGCCATTACAGTGAACTGTGAAATCCTGGTATTAGATCGTTGGAGGCGATCGGCAGAAAGCCTTGGACCTAGGTTTCGTGCAAGTTGGAACTCAACAGTCAGCGAGGCATACCTACAACCTTGAAGGAAGCCATCTCCCTTCTGAGATTCGAACCCGCGTCACCACCGAGTGCTGCAGTCAGAGGCGTTACCACTAAGCTATTCAGGCTCACATAAGTCAAGAAGGCAACTATAAGGTAAGACTATCTTTGCATAATTATACAGTTGACCTTTGGTAATTATTAGGCAATCGGTAGTTCGTAAGATTATGTCATTTAAGAAGAATAAGTGAATGAATACATGGAGTCTTAATAAATACTCGGGAAAACCTGGTCCTGAAGTGGTCAAAGTAAACTTACTACCGCTAATAATAATAATATTATATTGTAAGATACATGGTGAAGGGGAGGATAGTTTCTCATCTTACATAGCTAGTCACAACAAGCACATGGGCTGTGTCGACTTCTTTTAAGCGTACGGATTTCCCATGTTTAGGCTAATTCCAACCGAACCTGCTGTATGTTGACTTACGCCTTGTAGAGCGTGACTGTGATGAGATGAATTGCTGTAGGTAATTCTGAAAGCTCTATTAGTTAGTATCCAATTAATGTCCCCAATCAACAGGGTGAGATAGTATAGGGCTGTATTTAAACATACTGGATGGAGTTCCGAAATTCAACAATCAACTCAGCTATTTGAGAGTCGTATGTCATTAGCTCTGCAGGAGCAGCTAAACTGGGGAATGTACACATAAGGTAGGTGAATTTGTACATTTTTCTTTCTTTCAGAAATACAGTATGGCTTCTCTAAGAAAAAAGAAATTAGATGCATCCAAAGTTGTCTGACAGTTGACATTTTGTGATATATATATATATATATATATATATATATATATATATATATATAATTCCGCTGTGAACACCGCCCACAAAATGCTACCTCAAGAAAACTGTTCTCTCACTAGTCTTAAATACATGAGTCTAAGTGCTGATTGAAGTAAAAAGCTTTTATTTTCTGGAATTTTACGGCATATTTCTGTCTGTTGAACAGCGCGTGAATACTTTTCAGCTCCTTGAGGAAAACAACTCAAAAAGTAACTCTGGCATTCTTATCTGGACACCTCATGAGACTGTAGTTATATTGCAAAGCAAGGAAACGGAACAAGTCAGTATACCGACCACCTGTTATTGTTGTTTATAGTTTCATCTAGTTTTTCTGTCATTGTACTTCAGATAAATATTTTCGAATGTTTTAAAAATTATCACACTCATCTCGTAATACATACTTTCTTTATAATCTCTGTCTTCGTCTAATTCGTCATCCGTGATATCTTGTAACTTGAAGCTTTCTTAATTCAACTTCCTATTCCCAAAGTGATCTATGTAGAGTAGAAAAGCAGATAGTTTGTTTTTCAGTGCGATTTATATTATGTTCCAGTATTGTAACGATCAAGGATTATATGTTCAATTCATCTTACTAAATCGAAGAAATCATCTTCAGAGACCGTACGGTCATACTTATATTTACCAAAAATATATAGTAGTCTACTAGTGAGTAATAGAGGAGTTGACTTAATTGATATAATTACTCAGAAGTGGCTTGAGAAGTAAAAAAATAAAAGTTGTAAATGACGTGGTACTCAACGGCACAAATTTAGAAATTCGATAAGGTTAAAATTGCTATTGAGTTAGAATAAAGGCATTTGAGTGTCAATTTAACAAGTGTGAAGAGGGTGTGAAAATATACAAAAGGAGCATATGAGATTGATAATATTGGATTACATCGAGGATTTAATCATGAGTTGACATCAGTTAGAGAACCACCGGAAAATCTGGGAGTACTGGACAGCTGTTTCGTCAACCTAGTTTGGGACTCTTCAGCAGTACGCACTCACCGGGATTCGAACCCAGCACCTTCTGGTTACAAGGCGAGCTCGTAGACCATTGAGCCACTGGGACCCGATTCAATGGTCCTTGAATTCTAACTTCTGCCAAACTAGGACGAAACAGCTGTCCAGTACTCCCAGGTTTTCCAGTGGTTGTCTAACTGATGTCAGCTCATGATTAAATCCTCCATGCAATCAAACAAAATCCCTACAAAACCAATACTTGAAAATAGTGGATTAATCATTAAATTGAAAGCAAACTGAAAATAAAATTAAAAAAGAAAAAAATCAAAACTTTTTACAGGGAACGATTGGTGAAGAGGTTAAGACCAAGGTAGAATAAGAGACTGGACAAACTTTTTCTGTATACAGAATTCAATGTTGTATTGATGAACTACCAGCGCCGCCACCATACACAAAATCCGAAATCTGTCGCCCTTTGTACCATTTGGCCTTACCTTATAGATGATTTTGATACACGACTCTGGTGGAGCCACATGGCTTGAGTTCACCAAGTGCTCGAGAATTCAGCTAGTAATTGTCTTGCATTGTTCTTCTTCAGTATTTGTGTTATCTTTCCTTCAATTTGTTCCGTTTAGCCTTTCTGGTTACTTTTCTTTGAGTATTTGTTTTAATCTGACATGACGGATAACATTTTATCGATTCAGTCTTGGCTATTCATCAGGACAATGACAGCACCTTAATCGGGGCCGGTCAGAACCAAGTCTTTATTCCTTAAAAGCTCACGTAGTCGCTTTCTACGCTCGGCTGCAATAAATCCTTTTTACTTCTAATGCTACTTCGGAGTAATTTTATCAATTATTTATTATTATTATATACATTATTGGTAAATATAAATACGACTGCACAGTCTCTGAAGATGATTTCGTCGATAAAGAAAATTTTCTTAGTTGAATGTGTCTTTTATTTTCTTCATGACTCGATTGATATCGTTGTACTATCTGAATCAGCCAATTAAAGAGATTCCATCACAAACTTGGGCTCATTCTTGGCCTTACACAAAACTTCAAGAGCTGAGAGATCCCATTATATCTCATCTCCTTCATTCTGCCCTTAAACACCCAACTCATCATTTTTCCATTCAGGTTTCACTGGAATGGTGGCCTGAAGAGTGATGACACGCAACGGTCTCCTCGGCATGTTGAAAAATAGGTGCTCGGTTAGTTCGTTCGTATAGTTTCAAGAGCTGAGAGATTCAGAGCCTTCACCTTATTTCACTATGGGTTTTCAAAACATACTGACTTCCTTTTTTATTTTTTTATGCTGTAATTGATTTCTGCGGAACTCGTATTTTGGTTATCATTTCAAATTGGACGCTCAGCTCACTACACGCATCTTTCCGCTAAACTTAGTGTTACTACTAATATGATACTTCTGTATTAAGATACTTATCGCTAACACGGATGGATCAGTGATGCCTTCAGTCAAATTTTGATGCTAATTCGTAAGTGATGACTAATAAGTTGGATCCAGGATACATGTCCCCTCTGTGATACCAGCATCACCTGCTGGTATGCACACTTGTCTGACTGACGAGTGTCACGTATAACAAAAGGCGTCCTAGATTCAGTCTACAGAAAACACCTACCACCTTTATATATGTCCAAACCAAGTTTACTTTTAACAGTTTGAAAAAGTTTAGGCATTGGGTTAATGATATTTATTATATAATAAAGGTTTTTGTATTTTCCAATGAATGAAAAACAAAATAACATTTCGCTATTTAATGCTAATAGCTTTATCAAAGTAGTATTATCAAACCGCAATCAGCTCGACATTAGAATTTTCTTCAAAACATCAGACACGCTACGAAATAACTTTGTCCATATAAAAGATCAAATCACTAAAGATTCTCTATCTAATTGTGTCTATAAAATAAAATGCTTGGAATGTGATATGATATACATCGGACAAACGTCTTGAGAAATTAAAATCAGAAGAAATGAACAGCGTAGAGCATCTCTTCGACCACCAAGAAATCCAGTTGAACTAGAAAAACTTCAAAAATCATCAGCCATAGGTCTACATACTATAGAATCAGGCCACAAAATTGATTTTGACAATATTGAAATAATCCAGAAAAACTTCAGAAATCACAAAGAACGTCTAATATCAGAAACACTTCATATCAAGTGGAATTCGAATTGCCTGAATAGGAATGACGGACTAAAACAGAATCTGACCTGGTTACAATACCTCCCTCCCCCATGAAGTGATAAAATCAACACGAACGTGATAAGCAAACTCACTAATGTAAACACACACTGCTTTTAAAATTTTACACAATGATCAAATCCAACAATCTACACTTGATTTTGTTATCTTTACCAATTCACCAACTTGAAAACGAAGCATGACCCCACACTGACGAATGATGTTCAAGTTAGTAAACTTTGTTTCGATATCATAACAGATGTACTATTAACTTTTTTATTTGGTTTGAGTGATCTTCATTGTTATTTCCACTTTCAATGTGTCCTTTTAATTTGACCTAAGTCTATTTTTCTCACCCCTTAACTCTTTGTTATTATATAAGCTGAGTCGATTTTGTAAATTCCGGTTTAATAATACTCGTGAACTGGCAGAAGTTAGAATTCAAGGACCATTGAATCGGGTCCCAATGGCTTAATGGTATACGAGCTCGCCTTGTAACTAGAAGGTGCTGGGTTCGAATCCCGGTGGGTGCGTACTGATGAGGAGTCCCAATCCAGGTTGACGAAACAGCTGTCCAGTACTCCCAGATTTTCCGGTGGTTCTCTAACTGATGTCAGCTCATGATTAAATCCTCCATGAAATACAAAGACCTTTATTATAATGAGGACCTACCACATTTGTCTCATGAGTGCAGGTTACAAAAAAAAAAGAAATAAACAGCTAAATGTCAACATTATATTTATCATTTTTAAACACTAAATAATTTGAAAGGAATTCAACATGGATTAAATATATTGTCAACAATCGATAAAATATCGTTTGCCCATTTCATTCAGCCTTTTTACAGTTTTCCAATCGTTTCAAAGTTTGACTGTAAGCTATAGGCATCAAAGCTTCACCAACTTTCGCCAATAATTGTGGAAAATAGTATATAAATGGATTGATTACTATTGGATTGGACAGTAAGGCGTTTAACGTCAGTACACCAAATGGTAACCATGCAAGTATAGTGATCAACAGGATTGAATTATTCAGCTATTTGTTGTTCAAAGTTCAATCCATTTTTAGTTGTTGTGTATAGAAAAACCAAAATAGAGATAAGAAGTAGTTTGAACAATTAATTGAGCAAAAAAAATGTGTTTAGTAACTAAATCTACAGGGATTCACAGGTATATAGACAATAACGAGGTTCTCAAAAGAATGGATACTGAACAAAGAGTACTCTTTTCGATAAATTCATCATCAGGCTCTACAAGGTTGTTCATGTTGCTAGGCAGCTATCTTTTATATATGCGTTCAGTGCCCATTTCTATGCGTTATGAGTCGCACATAAGGCTTCAGACATGAACTTTAGACGTTTCAATAGCGGTGGTGCATTTTAACGGGGTGGATTTGCTAACCCCACTCCCAGTCTTCCCTCTTTATGGGCCTTAATACCGGTTTAGAGAAATTTAGAGGTATACCCACTGGGACTGAACGCGGATCGCATCCATGGTTGGCAATCATCTGTCATTAAAGCAGTGATTCACATCTTGGGCATACGGTGAGTATATATCCTTGATTGTGACTTCCCCTTTTTTGAATGACTTTCAACCCTCTCAAGATAAATTATCCAATAAAAGTCTTTTTGAAATAAACTAAGTTTTTCAAATTATGTATTATGTAACATTAAAAATAACCTAGTTTTATGCATTGTTTCAAGTTACATAAGGGATTTCCGTTTTACTGTAGAGCCCCTAAATAGGAGGGCTGCGTGCGGAATAGCACCATTATTATTTCAAAGTACTTCTGTGAAGCAGCCGTTCATTTCCACTGGCGATTGTTTTCTTAAATCAAGGTAGGAAGAAGGGAAGTTTGAATTCGGTTGAAGTCAAATTGTAGGCGAAAACCAACAAACTGGCTGAAGAAGCACTCTGTGAAGATAGAACCCCAGATGAACATAGAGAAGACGGAGGTAATGATGGTGATCATCACCAACAACAGCAACAACAATCAGCGCTGATAGCCATCAAAGCGAGAGATTTGTCGAGGTAACTGCTTTCATCTATCTAGGAAGCACGGTTTCAACCGTACGGATGAAGATATCAGAGCCAGCCAGCCAGAATCGAAAAGGCAAGATATGCTTCATCAACCTGAAACCAGTTTGGAAATCTTCTGCTTCACTCAGTCAAAATAAAGAGCAAAATAGATTCAGATTTTGGAACAATAATGTTAACTCAGTCAGTCAACTCTTTTCTATATGGGTCAGAAACTTGTCTTATCACGCGTGAGATTCCTAACAAGTTACAGACTTTTGTCAACAGCTGTCCCTTTCGTTGACTGCATATTGAAGATCTAATTTCCAGTTGGCTAGAAAAAATTAGTAACAAGAAACTCTGACTGGGAACAAACTAACCCTGAGCCGATCGCTCAACAAATATGTAGGAGAAAATGGAGATGAACTTGGTATATGTTGAGGAGGCCGTCGAATGATGATATCACACTCCATGCCATCACTGGAGTTGAATCCCAATGGGAAGCGACGAATGGGTCGTCGGTGAATAGGTGGCATAGAGAGAAGATCGTGTGAGGAGGAGATGAGAGATTATGGCGATTCGTGGGCCCTAATAAGGAGTACAGCAGTAAACAGAACAAAGTGGAGGCATTGTTAAAGCTTTACATTTCACTTGGAACCCAAGAGAATAATAACAGTAATGAAGTCAACTTTCTATCGAAATGGGATGCTGAAGTTATTTGTAAACACGAGGTTACCTTTCAAGGACATTGTCTGTGATCAGTTTGGAATACATGCAAAGGTTATTCACAAGAAATTATATTCAGACATAATTGAAATCAAATGTAAAGACTAGTTTTGAAAGATGATTCCTATATTACTAATCGCTACGAAATATATTAAAAATAATTTATCCTGAATCGCTTATTTTGTGGCCGTTGTCCTGGCTCGAATTCTGGTTGACGGACTCCTTAGCTTCATTTATTGTAGATGAATGTGAACACTGAACGTTGGTTCGTTGGCTTAGTCGCCATTGGCGGGCAACTCGAAGGCGCGAATGATTCAGTCGTGTACAAGTTGGAAGAAGACGAAGGAATACGAATAAAAGTACAGTACATTCCTTGTAAAACATTTGTGTATAGGCCTTTGTACGAATTATCGATTTTAATTGCCGAACAATACAACTTATTACAATTCCTTGTGCTTTGGAGTTAAAGGCGATAATCGGTCATAGTAATTATCGATTCGGAGAGTCTTCTCAAATAATAGGAACTTAGGGTTAAGTTCCATGACACCTATTTTACTAGCTAGTAGCAATCCGGGAAAAAAGAGAGAGTTTGGAGTAAGAGTAGCAACTTCAACTCGTAAGCACGAAAAACCAACGCTATGGAAACCCCAGGTTGCACTAGGAACACAAATAAACGAAACACATATTGTGGCAATTTATGCCAACAAATCCAATTCATGATACGCTCACATCTACTGAAGGCATATACATTAATAAACAGAACTCTGTAGTTCAGTTACTTTCAGGTTCTGCATAGAATACATACTACTGAAGATTCGGATGAGTAGTTGCAATCCCCTCATATCAACTAGTAGTGCTTGCAAGAGGTGATCTAACCATCGGACAGCCATTTCCTTCGTTTGGGACCGAGCTCACTAGCGGTGTACCAGGTAAGACTTATCTCAGACAGCCGAACTAGTTCAAACCACCAGATTTTGGCTAAGAAGCTCTATCGATTAACACGTGTAGTATGCAACTGCTCATTTCAAACAATCAGTAGTTTATAGTTTGATGCAAACATGCTTGCTTTCTTGGTTGCCATTTGTGATATCAAGTAGGTCACATATTATGACCTGAATAATTCCGGTTTCCACAAAAAGTGTGATGAAATTTCACCCTTCGAACTATGTACATTACAGACTGCTAACCAATTCGCTGATTGTGGATTACGATTTACTTCCAGATTCTGTTTCAAGTTTCACCATCTGCTATCACCTCATAGCATTTTCATCAATCTACTAAATTCAGATTTCGTCACTGTCCACGGAATTCTTGGTTCAAGTATCCAAAAGCCCTCTTTTCCACCCCTACTGAACTCCTAGTGTTGACACTGATCTACACATAGGTTAGAATATATAGAAAAGTATATAAATCTGTGGATGGTGGCTAGCAGTGGAATCCAGGATGCGCATTTCATCCTATTTGAAACTCGTCATCTGAATGTACCTGCATTTCTCAGTGAGTGATGATGTTCCCATTGAGGCTCTGAGACTGAGCACTTCGGTCCAATCAATCAATCGACAGGAAAATCAAAAATTCAATTCAAAGTATATAAATCCCCAAAATATAACGTCAACTTTGTTGATGTGCGTCGGTGGCACAGTGGTTAGGACTCTCGCCGACCATGCACATGGTCCGAGGTTCGAACACCTGCCGACGCACATCTGATATCTATGGTCGGCCTGCAAATTTGGGCTACCGATATCCATGCTGAAAATTCGATACTTGTACCAAAAATACAGTGTGGAATCAAGCTGTAAATCAAAAATTAAAAAAATGATGGGCATCAAAAGTCCCGAAAAGCAAATGTTAGAGTTTCTTACTACTTGGCTCAGTTGATTTTCTGTCACATTAAACACTAGTAGAATAATGAAAGTATGCAGGAGGTCGGGTGTGAGGACAAATACTCGCCGAAGACATTGGCTAGGGGTCGCGCTATGTCATGAATTGGCAGAATTTAGAATTCATGGGTCATTGGATAGCGGCCCAGTGGCTTAATGATCGAGGAGCTCGCCTTGTAACGAGAAGGTCCTGGGTTTGAACCCCGATGGCTGCGTAGTGTGAGGAGTCCCAAACTAGGACGAAGCAGCTGTCCATTAATCCTAGCTGTTTTTACAATGGTTCTCTAACCAATGTCAGCTCATCATGAAATCCTGTAGCCAATCAGTCAAATCCCTACAAACCAATACTTGAATGAAAATATAAATGGATTGCATCAGAAAGTATGGTCACCTTTGTGAGCATTTTAATTTTGTCAACATTCTTCTCAGTCTTCTTTGGACTACTCATTGATTGTTGCGTTATCATCATATACTGAGACCAGATTGCCATACTCACTGGAAGTACATAACCAATTATGCATAAAGCATACAAATATGTCCTATTATGATTTTCATTCAAATTATTCCAATCAAGTAAGCAGGATGTTTGATGGGGTTCAAGTGTATATCTAAAATTGAAGAAGGTTTTAAAATAGGTGGCATCAAGTTAACCAACTTTAAGAAAACTACAAATATGGATATGTTGCTTGGTTGATGATGGAGAGCAGTTGAGTACAAGATGTGCGTTTCACTCCGTCCGCGACTTGTCAACTAAATGAATTTGTATCTCATTGTGTCGCGGTGTTCTGAATGACTATCTGACCTAGCAGGCATAATTTGATATTTCAAGTAGTCCCCTAAAGAAGGATGATTTCAACTACTTCAAACGTGTGAATTTCACGTTGTTCGTAGCTGAATGACCAGTCTATCGTCGTCTTATAAGTCCGTCAACAATGAACTGGTGTAATGTTGAAATAAGTACTGAAAATGTAAAACATCACATTTGGGAAACTATATTTAAATGTATTAAGCCTTTCCCAATGGCTTAAAATCAGTTTATCAGCAGTTTACATAAGCTGCTTCTGTCAGTGTTGGTAAACATTGAATGGTTGAATTGTTTATTCTAACTGGTCTCCATTTGGTGGGAGACAACATTCGCAACCGTTGCTTAATCATTATTGTACATTTTAATAATGCTTACCTGCAGACTCTACACATAGTAACCTGTTGTCCTGTTTCCTAATCGATGGAGCAATAAACAACCGTATTGTTATCCCGTTTTTGATATTCCACGTTAGTTAGTGTGCATAGTATTCAGAACGTTAGGCGTAGTCTTCAGAAATCAGAGATATATTTAAAATCTTTTGCAATCTAGACAACCGACAGCTTTATTGATTAATTTTATTAAATTATTATAAGATTTATAAATATTAAGATTTTAAATCACTACCTTCGAGGTTGAAGATGAACTACGCTAACGAGTGCCAGCAAGTGAAATTTGCTACCAGCCACATTCATTTACATAACATAAATGGTAAGCTCATTGCAGTAGTAAATCACTTAGCTCAGTGCACACGTTCAAAACCTGATTGACATAATCCAGCCGGGACTATTTACAGGACAGCATAACTATGCTTATTACCCAGTAACTAGACAAAATATCAGTCAAATAGTACAGAAGAGGAATGTTTATTCCTCCTAGTTGATAAGTTGCACCTCAGTTACCCGAAATGTTAGACTATAAGCTGTACATTGAACGATACTCGAATTTCGGTCTCAATGGCCGAATTTGGAGTTGCGAAGCTGAAGTATCACTCACCTCAATGTTGTGTTTAGTTTTAAATCTGACCGCTAGGTTGAATTATGAAATGATCAACTTTGTTTTCACATTAGTATTTAAAGAAGTGTGAAGAAAGGAATCTTGATGAATATACAAATTTCAGTGGAAGGACTCTTCAGCTGAACACTCCACAAACATTATTATTTATACAACTTTTTACGGTTAAATACACACAAACACATGAACATAATGACAGCAGGTGTACGATCTATAAACTGTGAGTGATAATGTGAAGGGAGAAGGGAAGTAAAATTGCAAACGTAAAATAAAAGTATGCTGCCAAGGTAGTTTCAGCTAACTACAGTCTCCCTCTCTGTGAACAGATCCGGCTATTTTAATCTGATTGCTTCAACAAAACCATGAGCTTTTTTGTTACTTTGTTTACCAGTAACTATAAAGCTTTTATTCAGCATTACCGCAGTTTTTAACAGCGCTGGTTGAAAAAACATCTTTCTTTATGCCCAGTATATTTGCTTCCACAAATTCATGTAAACTGATATAGACAATCTGATTTAGCGAGGACCGATGTCTTATCTTTCCCTGCTGTCTTCACTATCCCCTCCTCTTTGTTGTGCGTCTATGATCAACATATCAGGTACACAATAGGTTCTTTTAATTGCTCTCTTCACCATTTAAGTGACATTATCTCTCTTGAAAGCTAACTTTACGTAAACCTGCTTTGCCTTTGCTGTCTTTTGAGTGCTTATTCATAAACCTTTCTCAATATCTATTTCTCACTGGTGTCTCCCTCAAGAATTTCTCCTCTTAGTGTAGGCCGCTACTTAAACATATTCTTTTTGCTCTATTGAACCATGTCCTAATCAGACTCCCTCCATAAGGAACCAGGACGGCGCTAAGAAATGTATAAATTGTCCAATCCAAGTTGAATTTCTATATAAAATCTCTCTACAGTTCCATCAGCCCGTTTGGAATTTGGATTTTAGATTTTCCTGTCGATTGATTGGACCAAAGTGCTCGGTCTCAAGTTGACATGACAGCTTTTTGTGCACATGCTTCAACGATATCTGGGCATGTAATTAGAAGTTAATTGGTGGATGATGATACGCGGTGGAATCCAGGACACCACGCATTTCATCCCATTTTGGACTCGTCATCTGGATGTACCTGCATTCCCCAGTCTGTGGTGATGTTCCCACCGAGGCTCGAACCCAGTACCCATAATTTCAAACGCCAAAGCGTTATCAACTAGACCGCTTGGGCCACGAGAGCCAGCCACCTATTGTGCAACGGCTCATATTAATTATTTAAATGAATTTTAGATTTTCCCGTCGGCTGACTGGACCGAGTCCCAAATAGGACTAAATGCGCATCCTGGATTCCACTGCCAGCCATCATTTCCACCAATTAATGTTTGGAAAATTGTTTAAATAACGATCTCTGTAGGGTATTCAACTGACTAGTCCTTACACCGAAATTTATGAACTCATTAAATGCTCGTTTTTTTAACGGTTGTTGCTTGTTTTAAATTTGTCACAGGAAAGAAACTTTTTTCAATATTTTGAGAGTTAGTCTGCTGGAAATTTCCTGATGAATACACCTCAGTATTTGATGTAATCAATAGTTTTCTCACCAAGTTAACTTGGTATCGACAATTCTGGTAATTTTTATTCATTTTATTTGTAATTAGTTTCAACGGGTGAAATGAATGCCACATTGCAAGACTGACTTTTTTACATTATTACGAGGAATAGCTATACACAAAGCTAACTACATCCCCGATTATCCCCGCCATCTAATAGAAATTTGAAATTTTGTAATAATGTGAAGTTCTCTAACAGACTAATAAAAGGTGCATTAGTGATTGGCAGCATTTTTAACCTGATGAACAGTGAATTTATAGAGTAACATGATTCCCTATAAGACCAGCGATTTACGTAGAATCGTAGTGACAGTCACAAGCAGATACGTGGGATTCCTAGAGAACCCGAGAAATATCGACACTAAAGTGTAGGACACTAAGAAACACCCACTGTATCTTCGTTTAACCGGGGAACTATGAAAGGCACTCTGGAAAAGGTAGTTACAATGCTTACCTTCCAATGGTTTGTCAATCATTATAGCATTATTATGGGTAAATAGGCAGGCAAAGATTACGAACACAATTTTGCAGACGTACATGAGGAAAAAACACATCGAACTCACTTGCTATATCCAAAAATTGGTAAAACAGCCCACAGCAGTCCGATTGCCCAAATTCCATAAATGACGCAATTACATCTTTTTGATGTTAGCCATCGAACTGTCGATATGAAGGAAAAGAAACAACAGCGGTCATGGCCTTCAGCTGCCACTTTACCTTCATTATGGGTAAAAATTTATTTTGATAAAGTCACACAATGGTGTTATACAGTAATATTTACTGATGAAAACGTTTCGAGCACAATTATTAAAGTTTTATAGTGTGAACTGAAATACATTTTAACATTATTTATTATCCTGTGATTGGACTGATAATGATATCTTCCATATCTTGGTATTGACGTTGAGTCACTTCTATTTTATGTGTTAGGTGTAGACTTGATGAACAAGGATTCAATAATCAATCTCTCTCCCCACCTACCTATATCACTCTTTAGAATTTTGACTCTGTTCCCCCCACCCTATTGTGTGGTTGTGTGTTAATGCATGCAGTGCTATTACTGAGTTTCTTTCTAAATTAATTATATCTTTTCTGGACGTGCAACTAGCAAGACGCGAACAAGATGGGACACTCAAAAGATCCATTCACAGAAAACCGACATGGAATGGACAACTCATCAGCTTTCACAGTTGGGTGCCTATATATACAAAACGAAATCTGATTCGCTCACTGACTCACAGAATGCACAACATTTGCAGTCCGGAAACTATAGAAGAAGAGCTGAAGACCCTGAAAAGAATCCTCCTTGAAAACGGTTACGCGGAACGTTTCATCACAAAAGCTATGAAGCCCAAAACACAAAAACCATCCATGCTTACTGCTCCCAAGAAACTTCTCTATTTGAATCTACAGTTCAACGGAGATTCTTCAGCAGAAATACTGAGAAACCGCCTGTGCCGTTCACTGAAGAAAACCTTCTTCGCAGCGGAACTCAGACTAACTTTCTCTACGAAACCAATGATTCGCACGAACGTGAAGGATAAGCTTCCACTGGGGGCCTCATCAATGTGCATCTACCAATTCACCTGCTCATGTGGAGCTAGGTATGTCGGCCGTACCCAGCGTTTGCTATCCAAACGAATCAGCGAACACTTACCTTCATGGTTTTATAAAGGAGAAAGAAGATCCCCCCGCCACAGCTCTATCCTAGAACACTTGATCGAATCCGGACACCAAGCAAACCCACAAAACATCTTCTCAGTTATCTACACAATACGTGGGAATCTTGCCAAAAGAGTACGAATTAAACTTCTTCAAACTGCAGAAGCAATGGCAATTCACATATTGAATCCTGAACTCTGCATACAAAAGAAGTTTGTTCAGTCACTAAATCTACAATGGTCCTGATCTATCTTAACACCAAATACGTAATTTTGTCTTACCTCTTTCTTCTTTGTTTGTCTATTTCTTAATTGCATTATTTTCTACCCCCACCCTCTATTAAATCTCTACGCTCATGACGACTGTTGCTAACTCGATTTTCGTTTATTTTTAAGTGAATTCTACTCAGATTATTAACTTGACTCTCATTCATTTTTTCATTGAACCCTATCAATTAGATTACGTCACCCAACCTACTTTTGTAACTTTATTTTAGTTTCTAACCGATTAACGCCTTCTAAATTACGTAATTTGTTTGTCAAAAATTAACAATTGCATTAACACATCTTTGGAAATATTCCTTTTGTTGCCAAGACAAATTACTATAAATTTGCGATTTGTACAGCTTGAGAATGATATCGCCGAAAAGAGTAACTCTTTGCTGAACACCTTTTCTTTTCTATAAATTAATTATCTTCGTGGGGTTAATCATTCTAACCTTGGCTAAAATCTTATGTTTCAACAATCTGACTACCCCGATCTACTGGTTTCACCTATGCAGTTGACTTCACTCACAATCATTGCAAGATATTTTGTAAATTATATTATTTTGTCGATTTGGGTACACCGGGTTCTTTAACCTACACAGCTTATCCCTGAATGAATTTGTAGGTTTGAGTGCCACTCTAATTCCTGCTTTACTGAGAGTCCTACGCCGGCAGGGCCTCAGATGTTCCCGCCTTATAAGGTAGGACTGTAGATGCTCTATATTCTTTCTTAATTATGTTATCATAATAATGTTTCACCATTTGTTTTGTTTTGCTTTTCACCTTTTCTGATATTCCTAATGAATTTCATAGGATAGTTATTTAACACCAACGCCTCTTCTGTCTATTTCATTTCATCATTTAGGCCGTTTTGTTAGACACTTAACTAAGCCTGCCTTCACAGACAAATAACGGATGAGGTGATGAATTATAGTCTAAATATCGATTAGCAGAATACGTTGGCTTTTTATAAACACTTGTGTGCAGTGCAGTTAACCTTCTTCTGTTTGTTTTATTTTACACTTTAACATAGCTAATTCTCCTTGTTGATTTTCTGATTCAAATGTGAATTTTATTCACTTTACTAGTAGGTTTATATATGTGAAGAAAATAAGTAATTTAGAAAGAAACTCAGCAATAGCACATATGGTGCATACTGAAGTACGCGTTTCAGTTAACAGTGTATTTTGCAAATAAACGGCCTGCTGAAATTATATGTTACTGGAAGAAAAGTGTCCCATCTGAAATAACCAGCTGTCACTATTTTAGAGGCTGAATCTTCTTTTAATTATTGTTACTACCCTTGTGCATAATTTTCAAACACTGAAATAGCAGAAAGGTTAAGCTTGTCGATTATGTTTTATGTTAAGCAATATTCAGACGATATCTCAAATGAAAACAGCAACCAACTAAGTGGGTTTTAATTGTGATTTTAATGTTATGTTTTGAAGAAAATGTGAAAAACTGTCCAAGAGGCAACATGAAACTGATGAGCTGTAAGTGAAATGTATCCAAGATAAAGTTAGATTTCATTGAAAAATTAAAATCCCTTCAGAGAACCATTAAAAACAAGGAAGCAGTGCATTGCTATTTGGAACCGTTTAGAAGTATGTACCTATAATACCAACAAGACTGATCCCAGGATGAACACGTTACCATATAGCCACTGGATTAAAATTAAATAGCCTATAAATACTAACTTCTGACTGTCTCTAATGCATAACACCACAACTAGTCAACACTACTGGTGCGTGTGTCAGCCTTCATACCCAAAATGATAACTTTCCCCTATCAGAACTTCTCACTGGAAGCCTATGCAACTCATCCATTCTATCTACACTTACCGTGTTTCAAATTTAGTATATCGACTGCAGTAAAGAAACAAATGAAACAGGAGAGATAGATTGATGTCATTCCAAAAAACATTCCATGAAATCCATATAAATGACAACCAAAATTGCCAAAAGGCCATCTAGAATAGGATAATGAAAACAAGGAAAGAAAATGGTAAGATATTTGTAGGAGCATGCATACAAAGAATTGCGCTTCTGTTGATTTATTCTATTTATTACCACCTAATATTGTAATTTACAATTTTCGAAGCCATCTGATGAAACCATAGTCCAAAACTTGCATAAAAGTAATTTCATAAGAGAAATCGACTTGTGCTTTGGTAGTTTTATGGATTATACGTTCATTTTTCGTGAAAATGATTTGGACAGGAACGTTATAAAATGTCACTTCAACGAAGTACGCTCAGCTATCTAATTCACACGTGAAGAAGAATCTCCAAGTACACTTGTCTTTTTAGACGTACTACTGACAAGAAAACCAGACAGTAGCATGAAAATGAATGTGCGTAAGAAAAGTACTTGGGTCGGTCAGTATTGGCATTTTTATAGATTTTTTCCTCTCCGGTATAAAAGAAATTCTGTAAGGACCCTCAGGTATAGAGTCAGAGTTACTTGTTCAGAAGATGATATCGAACCAAAACTGAAGATAGCCGTCTTGAAGAGTTCATCGCTGAACACATGATGACGAAGGCAAAAAAGAATTCTTTTGTATCTGTTAACAGGTAGCCTCTATTGATACCATTATAAATCCAAAAAAGATATACCCGGTGAAATAATAGCCAACAAGTTGGAGAAAATCGATTCGAAGAACGCATAATGCCTGAAAACTGCAGCTTGTATTTTCCACATAACCAGTTTTAATTCCGAAAGTAAAAGATGAAGTGCCTAGGCGAGCTATCTCTAGTTGTATCTAGCAATCAGTTAACTGCTCCTGTGTAGCCAGTTATATAGACAATTGCTCTAAGAACCTAAATTTCCGCGTGACTAGACATAGATGCTGCTAAAACCGTCAGTAGTTCCCTATAGAACCACTTCATGCAAATAGACCACAAAGCCAACAATGAGGAATCCTCTATCATCTACCAGCTATCAAATATATTCTCTAAGCCTCTGTATACCGAACGCTACGAACAGCAGAGTTCATTGTAATTTGCCTAAAGTAACCAGGGGTCTGCGTAGAAAACAAGGTTGTCCAACCACTGTTGCTACCCTTGCCTGCTGCTAAGCCCATAAATTCGTAAATTCCATGTTATTATTTATGTAGATGATACTCTCATTATTGGTAATAATAGTAAGTCTATTGAAAACTTTATTACCTTATTTAATCATATGCATCCAAATATTCGAGTGACTTCCGAACTAGAATCGAATAACAAACTCGGTTTCCTGGATATTACAATGACCAGGAAAGACGATGGAACTATTAGGCTACCTATTTTTCATAAACAGACATGGAGTGGACAATATCATCGTCTCACCAGTTTTGTTCCTATCCAGTGTAAACGTTCCCTAGTGAAATGTTTGTTCTCAAGAGCCTGAAAAATATGCACGAGTGACACATTGATGGATGAGTTTTAACATATACACTCAGTTTTATTAGCTAATGGTTATCCGGAGAACTTTATCACGTCACAGTAAAGAAATACCACATCTCGAAAAGACAGCTTCTGTACCAAAGAAAGCTATCTTTATTAACCCACCATTCAGGGGTGATCAAATTATGCAGTTGAAAGCTAAAGGACTCCCGTCAGCCATCAAACACACATTCTACGCCGCATCTTTTTTTCTCATTTGTCGAACATTTTCGATCCCTGTACCTACGATTAAAGGACGAAATTCTGTCGACTCTACTTCAAACTGTATCTACAAGTTCACCTGCAGCTGTGGTGACACCTATATAGGTAGAACCAACAGAATGTTCCAATGTCGTCAAAAGGAGCATGTTCCAAAATAGCTATTAAATCATATCGAAAATCCCAACGCGATTAGTCTGAATAGAAAGCCATCATCAGCCTTTGCAAAACACTTATTAATGTCAGGTGACAAAATCAATACTCATGACTGTTTCACAATTATTTCACATAACTCTAATTCAGGTTATGAGGTGATGGAAGCACTTATCTGGATTAATCACATACAGCCTAAACTGTGTGTAAAAAACAAAGACTTCAATCGCCTACCATGGACTACACATAACTCTAATTCATGGTTGGTGATTAAAGGTGATGGAAGCACTTATCTGGATTAATCACATACAGCCTAAACTGTGTGTACAAAAAAACAACAGACTTCAACCTTCGCCTACCATGGACTACCTGACTTATTTAAATATGATTGGTCATTAGTATGTACTTTTGTTTTTATTTAATTGTAATTGTCATGATCTTTATTTTATTATTGTTAACCATGTGAACTGTAAAGCGGTTGTAAAGAAACTACGAAATGAAGGTATCATCTGGCGAAATTTTTCTTCTAAATGCCTTATTCAAATATTACTTATTTATTTTATTTTACTCTGTTACGTTCCCAGTGGAACATAGATCTTCAAGCTAGAGCTATGAAGTTTCGATAACAGTGATGTTTATTTTTACGGGATGGTGGGCTTGCCAGTCCCATGTCCAACCTTTCCTCCTTACCAGCCTTATTACCGGCTTAGAGAGGTGAATGAGTCAGTCACCCAGAGATCGAACCCCGAACCACATGAGGCATAGTTGGCGAGCATTCTACCGCTAAGCCACCGACATCCATAGCTTCTATGTTACTCCTCTTAATTTACCTGATATTTAGTTTGGTCTTATACATTAATTAACATTATATCTTACTGACGCTTTATAAGTGTAATCTATCGATCCGATGTAATTCGAAATACTGATGTTGGTAATAACAATATTTCTATAATTATTACGGTCATATAAATTTACAACCTGATGAAGAATACAATAGGTTATCGAAATAATTGTTCTTTGGTCATTAATCGGTCTTTAAGTTTTTACTATCCTTCAACTGATGTCCAAGACTCTGAGGTCATCAGAACTGTCAGAAAACTCACAATATAGGTTGGAAAATTCATCATCGTTATTGTCTACTTTGCATCAAGTACTGTTGTGACAACAGAAGGCAAGACACAGAAGACAAGGTATATTTTTCATTTGATCGAACCGCTGTTTATATATATATATATACAGTTTATATTCTTCAGCCAATCACTGAGCGTGGGATTTCGGTTTACATCAAACGAAATGAAAGAGAATGTTCAAATATACATGGTATTCTGTTATTAATGCGCAGCTGAACTGTGGGAATATGACAAATACTAAAATTCCACTGAGAGTCTTAGTATATTCCAGACAGTATATAAAGCAAAATAACTGCGGAATTTCGAACAGATTTTTATTTTTATTTTTTTTATTTTTTATTTACAGCTTGATTCCACACTGTATTCTCGGTACAAGTATGGAATTTTCAGCATGGATATCGGTAGTCCAAATTCGCAGGCCGACCATAGACATCAGGTGTGCGTCGGTGCGGGCTCGAACCCCGAACCATGTGCATGGTTGGCGAGAGTCCTAACCACTGTGCCACCGACGCACAGAGTAGTTTCGCAGTTATTTTCACTTCTATGAATTATGAGACAGTCATTTCTGGCACAGCTTTGGATACACTATTGTTCGTATATTCCACTTTTATTGGTCGAGTTTTACTTTGAATCTGTTAATTTTTACAGGTGTGTATCTAAAGCAAAAGGATTTCCTGAAATGGCCTTTTTGTAGGCGAAAATCGCAAATCCGATGAAAACAGTCTTAAATAGTAATGTAGGAGGAATATAAATTAAGTGAAATTTAAATATCAGGTTGATCAGACCTAGTGTTGACTTTCAGTGGGACTCAAAAGTCAATTTCAGTTTGACTTCTTCTACGGTGATTCAAACATTTTATGCATTGCAGCTTCAGTTTTTGTTTTGGGTGTCGAGAAAGGTTTTAGCTGTAATCCTCTTATCCTCAGTCACAGACTTTATATAGCGTGTATCTTCGTACACTCAAGATATTCTATGTCCTGCTTATGGTTAGTTATACAAAATAGTGGCTTTTTTTTTAAATTGCTTTAATTCAAATATACAAAATTTTAAAATTTGATAGGAAATGCTTATTAACAACTTAATAAAACAGATTATTTATCTCTTACCTTTTTAGATAAGCACCAAGTGCAGTGAATGGAGACGGCGAAATACTACCCAAACACGCCACAGCTAGGCAATAATGCAATTTCACTAGATTACGTGGTAAGATTGAATTCAATGCTGATAAGCGTAGAAGATTCTTCAGGTGAAGCCATAAACCCACTAAACCTGAAGTATAGAGCGAAAAAATTCAGACTTACAGAATGTATCGTGTGTTCAGAATGCTTGCTTACTGAAGAGATTTAATTAAAGCAAGTGATTAAATAAGGTTACAGAGGGATTTAAACAAATGTTATACAACTGATGATCTGTCCTTTTCGATATTCCATCTTGAAAAGGCAATAAGTAATCTATCTTTTGTTTACAGGGTTTCATCATGAACTGATATTGGTTAGAGAACTATTGGAAAACCAGCTAGAAGTACTGGACAGCTGTTTCGTCGGCATAGTTTGGGACTCCTCATCAATGCGCGCCAGCCGGGGCTCGAAACCAGGACCTTCTGATTACAAGGCGAGCTCTTAGACCATTAAGCTAATAGGACCCGATCCGATGCCCCCCCATGAATTCCAAATTCTGCCAATTCATGATATGTAGCAACCGATAGCCAACATCTTCGGCGAGTATTTGTCCTCACATCCGACCAGCTGCATCCTACTGGTTACGACATATAGGTCTACGAACTCACACTGTAAAACAGAAGACAAGGCGAAGCAACAGATCGTTTTATTATGAAAATCAACACGTGTTTATACATATTTCACATACATTATTATAGACAAGCGCAGTCATCTGATTGGTTGTTTATCAGAAGTTAGGCAGACAAACGCAGGCTTCTGACTGGTTGTTTAGGGATTCCTCGACAAATAGAGTTCTCTATCTGCGAATCATATTTTGCCACGTTAACTTTGCTGTGATTGGTTGTTGAATCAGCCTTGTTCATATTTTCTCACGGCCATATTAGTGACCTAGACATTAACGTAGATTAGTGTCAACCAATCGGCTAGCAGCCTGCTCTCACCACAACACCTTGCAACCAGAAGGTCCTAGGTTCGACCCCCGATGTGTGGGTTAGTACTGATGAGAAGTCTCAAACCAGACTAATGAAACGGCTGTCCAGTGCTCCTGTATGGTTTTCAGTGGTAGTGTAACCGATGTCAACTCATGATAAAATCCTGTAACCAATCAATCAAGTCCCTACAAACCAATACTTGAATAACAATATAATAAGTCGTGTAATCGGCATTTAATTCCTCTGAAGGGAATTGTGGGCTTTAAAAACTTACGTGTACGTTCGCAAGTGAATACCGTACACAATGAATTTTAGTATTGCTCAAAAATATCCAATATGTTAGCTGGTAATGTTTTCCCTTTTGCCATCCATCTAATTATCAAACTTATTATAATGTAGATACAAACATCAAGCCGATTTTATTATTTTGTTATCGGTATTTTTTGTTTTATCATCATCGGTAAGACAAACTGATTTCTGTCGTAAGAGTCAATGATTCTAATGAGAATAAAAATGGTTATCCCCATCTGTTTTTATCCCTTTACGTTCCCGTAGAGCATAGGGGTACAAGCTAGAGGCTTGAAGTTTCGGTAGCATTGGTGTTGATTTTTACGGGATGGGGTTTCTAGCTTCATGCCCAACCTACACTCTTTACCAGTCTTATTACTGGCTTAGGGAGGTACAGGAGTGTGTCGACAGGAGATTGAACCCCGGACCACTTGCGTGGTCGGTGAGCATTCTACTTCTGTGCCACCGACGCACTGTTATCCCCATGGTATCGGTCTATCGCCTCAAATTTTGTGGCTTACCTACCCTCTACCCTTTATTTTGTGAAAAGTGAGGCATCATTTTTCTCTATTGAAGCTGTTTCCGAGCAATGAAAACTAAGCCGAACACAGTTTAATCGAACTGTCGTCGCTTTTAATAATGATTTCTTTGAAGAGTGTAACAGTAATTGTTTTGCTTCCAATTTCATTAATTGAAAAGAAATGAAATACAGGTTCATTGATTTGTCAATGTATCCACTCTACTTTTGGTCAGTTCCACAGTTTCCCCAAATAAATAAAATCTTGAACAAACATAAGTCACTATTCTACTCAAGATAAATGAGTTTCAGCCAGAAGTGTATTTTTAATAACAGTTGAACAATAAACCAAAGACGAAGTCGAGGTACAAATTGTCTGGCTTTCCATCTAGTTATATTACCTTTTAATACTTTCCCCCTATCATACCCCACTGTATGGTTACATGCAAGTGAAGGAATAGTGATGGTAGATCTTTTTGTAAATGATTTAACTTAGCTGGATCAACCTAGTCTAGATCTGGATAAATTTCCGTATCTTGATAATCTAATTGACTCCAGTCAACTAGTCTGATCTATACAACTGATCTCATAGTTATTATATGATATTCGTTAAGTTTAACTAGGTTTATTGGATCCTTAGGATGAAAAAGTTTGTCTTTGAGTGAATTGGTTGGTTTAAATTCCACCCTAATTTCGGCCTTGTAATGTAAGAAAAAATAAAATATAAACAACAGTGGATTCGAGGTCTCGATATTACTATCCTGTAATGAAGGGACCACAGATGTTCTTGGTGGAGCTTTTTACAAGGCCAGAATGAAGTTGGAATTTCAACCAGCCAATTCATCCTGAGATAAACTTTGTCGGCTTAAAGATTCGATAAACCCAATTAGACAAAATATCATAATTTAAGAAGTATCTCTACAACTAGAAGGAATGATGACAATAATAATAAGGTTTAATAATTGATTAATTATATTCAATAATAAAGGGAACATTATTAATCCATCTTATTTTAGTTATTCAGGTAGATCACAGTAGGCTAGGGTTGAAGTCTCTTGTTTTCTGCACACAATTCAAGATGCAAAGTGCTTTAATCACCTTCAGTATCTTGGGCTGAAGTTTATTATTCATGAAAATTTATCTATTGCTATCATTTGGAACCATTAGAATTTTATTAACAACTATTATTATTATTGTTATTACAGAGACGAACCACTCATAAATTTTGTAGGGTAAAGATGGGTTATCGGTTCGATTCTCGGAGGATCACCGTGTAGTTTTTTCAATATTCTCATAAGTTGTTTAGAATAAAAGTGGTCCTAAAGAAGAAGTAGTTCCAATTGATTTTAAAAGTCAATCTGAACGAAGAATGTATGCTTTTGAATAATTTCTCCTCTTCAGGTTCTTACAATTATAAAATATAATGCATTTGTTGTCATTACAATAATGAGAGCCAGTTATGCGGCGAATACTTTTTATAACGTAGAATAACAGATTAGTAGTTATGTGGTGTCAAAATGAATAGTCGTATTTGTGTGACAAACGTTGTGCTTGGCTGAAATCGGTTACAGAATATTGTGAAATGGGAGACAGTGGTGATGATTAGTCCTAATTGATTTGTAGAGTGTAGGGTGGGAAAATTAACAAGTCAGTTCAAGGTTATAAAAGGTGTCAGGTGAGTGGCTAGTACAAAGTGGTATGTATTAAAGATTGACTTTTAATTCATGATGAGGGAATATTCCACACTATAAAAAAATCCAATAGATTTCCCTTTAAAGAAAGAGTTATAAATCCACAAATTATACGGCAAGGCGTGTGAAGAATACAAGATTCAGCCTGATGGATCATTTAAAATATTTCGTGGTCAAATTAGTCAGTGTTATATGGAAGTGAAAATCGGATTAAGTAATACAGAATTCTTGAAGGTGGGTTAGTCATTTTGATTTTGCTTGTAAACTAAACTCAGTATGAAAACTATGATAATCATTCAATTACACATGAGATATGAACGTTTACGTTTCTCCCTTAAATGTGTATTAAATGTTTACGGGGTAGTAACAAAGAACAGGTTAGTTCAAAGTCGTTATATATGTTCAAACCAAGTTCACTTTGAAAAATTTGGGCATTGGGTATATGATATTCACTATAATAAAGGTTTTTGTATTTCCCAATGAATGAAAAACAAAACGATATTGTTATGTTTACTGACGTTTCGCTATGTAATGCTAATAGCTTTATCGAAGTATTGTTAAACCAGAATTTACAAAATCTCAGCATGTATATAACAGAGAGTTAAGAGGTGAGAAAATAGACTTTGGTCAAGTTAAAAGGACATATTGAAAATCAAAATAACAATGAAGATCACTAAACCAAATAACAAAGGTAATAGTACATCTGTTATGATGAAACAGGCCACAAATCTGATTTTGACAATATTGAAATAATCCAGAAAAACTTCAGGAATCACAAAGAACGTCTAATATCAGAAACACTTCATATCAAGTAGAATCCAAATTGCCTGAATAGGAATGACGGACTAAAACAGAATCTGACCTGGTTACAACACCTCCCTCCCCCATGAAGTGACAAAATCAACACGAATGTGGTAAGTTCACTATGTAAACATACACCACTTTTATAATTTTACGCAATGATCAAATCCAACAATCTACACTTGATTTTGTTATCGCTACCAATTGACCAACTTGACAACAAAAAATGACCCCAGACTAACGAACGATGATCAAGTTAGTAAGCTTTGTTTCGATATCATAACAAATGTACTATTACCTTTGTTATTTGGTTTTAGTGATCTTCATTGTTATCTTGACCTTCAATATGTCCTTTTAAGTTGAACTAAGTCTATTTTTCTCACCCCTTAACTCTTTGTTATATATAAGCTGAGTGGATTTTGTAAATTCCGGTTTAATAATACTTTGATAAAGCTATTAGGAGCATTAAATAGCGAAACGTCAGTAGACAGAACAATATCGTTTTGTTTTTCATTCATTGGGAAATACAAAAACCTTTATTATAATGAATAGTTCAAAGTGGGTTGACCCTGTTTTAGGCCAAAGCAAACAAAAAAGATGCATGGTTTTATCTTTGAATATGTAGATCTGTAGTGCATCTTCAATGTTTTCAATCTTCGTTTTAATGTGTACTTGTAATATGGACACCATTACGTTTTCACGCTCCTTCGCTGTGCTGTCTATAAGCACACTTTTCGAGCCGGCTATTTTGCATCACTTTAGATAAGTTGTAAAATATTCTTATTCATTAAATTTGATATTTTATCTATGCTAAAAAATACAATTCTTATCGGGGTACACTACCAAGTTGCAAGCCTTTTTACTTCGAGTTAGTTAATCGGTACTTAATTACACGTTAGGTAGAGTACTGATTAGGGCATTAAGACGAGAAATCTTTAGTAAGTGCGGTTAATTAAAGTCTACCTTAAGTACAACCAGTAACTTAGAGATTAACCTGGTCATACTGACTGTTGTTCCCTCGGTTACCGAGCTTTAGTAGGACTCTTTTTTAAAAGATCGATAGTCAAAGGATATATCATAGGACGGCCTATTAACCTGGATCTACAGAGGAAACTAAGATCGGATTCGTCGTATGGATATGGATTTCGATCAAAAACATAAACAGTTGTTTATTCGAGTTATTCTTATTCACTTACTGCTTACATAATAGTTGAATTGACAAACAACTAAAATAAGATAACTTACCAGTACAGATGAAAGCTGTAGCGATAGAATATTGGTAGACATCAGTTTGCTCAACGTTATCCTCTTTAAACATAGTCGTTTCTTATGCTTGATGATGACTGACGATGAAGGCGATGATGACGATAATGCAAAGCTTAAATCTAATTGACGAGTTTTTCGTTCGTTTTACAATCCGTCTATCAGTATAGTTTGATTAAATTGCAGGATATTTCATTGTATCACAAACCGCCAAATTTGATTGGTTCAAATATATCAGGGTGAGAAGGGGATTGGAAAGAAAAGCGTTTATCATTATGTGATGAATAGGCAACGCAGAAAGTAACGAGTATGAAATGTGAAATTGATTAGTTGAAACAAAGGAAATTATGCTTACTTAATTGGGTGAATTAAGGTCAAAGGTTGATAAAAGAGAATTAACCAATTTCATCCTTATGAAGTAAAGTGTTATCTATAATACAGAGATATTTAGCTAAATACAGTCATTCATTTAAAGAAAAGTTTCCATCTCAGCAGATGGTTTAAGCTGTTTACAGTAGAAATTATTAGATTTATGAAATCAGCCGACGGCAGTCCTCTAAACTAGATTTCATACTTGTTTGAAGGAGTCACAGCGTTGTATCTGGAAGAGATCCACATAACCTGAAAGATTTTGATATACTTTACTCCAGTAAGACGCCGATATCCCTGTTTTAGCTTATTTGCATCATGAATAACTTGCTTAAGGATATGAAGAGGCGTCAGAAGTTAGTCTACACCTGGAAATATTCAGAAACTTCTCCAATGAGAACCAAAATATTCTGATGACTGACCAAAAATATTGATTTAAGAATAGACCTCTACGGTGAGTCCCCTACACTGGTGACCATATTGTCAGTTGACCCATAGTACTCATTTGACACCGACACTGTTGATCAGATGTATAACAATAGCCAATGGTCATTTGCGGATACGAATAGCTCAGTGGTAACGTCTTTGCTTGCACAAATGAGTGACATCAGCTCCAGTCCCATTCACTCTAAATGACCCTGAAATCCTAAAGTTGTGAGTTCACCAAGGTAGCTAGCCAGAAGTCAGATGGATTGAACTAAATCCAACCAGACTGGATATACCATTGAAGACCTCAGCATCAAACAAGCGAAACCGCCATCCTGTGTTTACATAACTTCCATCTGGCCGGCATGCACTTTTGAACTTTTGAGTCGTAGTTGTTCAGTATAGTAAAATAACTGTTAGGTTATACTTTTGTTTCTGTCAGAACGATGTCTGTCTGCAGTCATATTTCGTTCTGATTGATTTATCGTTGTCAAGTTAATCAATAATAAGTGTAAACGTAAACTAAAACCATACTAGAATGATCTATTGTCTCTATCATTACATTGTCAAGTGTAATAGTAATACGACATAACACTATTAGTTTTCCACTTCAGTTTTGATTTTCCCATAGTATGATTAGACCAAAACGTTCCTCCTATTTTGGCATCTCAGTTCCTATTGCGGATGCTTCAACGATGTTTGAGGAATAACTTTAGGTAATTTAATGGATGGAGACTAGCAGTGAAAGGCAGGATGAGCATTCCGTCCTCTCCAAGACTTCTCAGCTAGTAGGTGTGCCAACATTCTTCATTGAGTGATTATGTTCCCAATGAGGCTGGAGTTCAGCACCCATCGTTTCAAACGCTGGAGAGTCCTAAATAAATGGAAATGTATGTTATCCTAATTTTCAGTGCTAGTCACCACCCAACAAATTACCATAAGCCCTCTAGGTTGAACAAAAAGTTCCAACTCAAAAAAGATGAATTTACTTTTGGTAAATTTTATCTCAAATAAATTAGTCCACCTATTTATAAATTTAAATTTGTGTACTTAAATTCAAGAGGTCAATTGTAACGAGAATAAAGTGAACAGATGAAGTAATTCTGAAAAATTTCAAATATCTAAATTTAATTCCACTAACTTTGAACTTATTTTTAAATTGTATTTTGTTTGTAGTACACAGCTTCACTCCCGATCTGTGAATAATAGAGAATAAGCATTTAACAGTATACGGTATAACTTGATTTCAGGTTAATTACGAGTTGAGTCGTACTGGAACGCTCCATATTAATAAGTCTGAGCTATTTAGTGATTCGAAGATAAGGACAGAAGGTTTGTTCTCCACTAGGCTATAGAGAAAAGCAACTACTGAGAAAGAGAGTTTTGTAGGGATCTGGATTAATTTCCAGTTAGATTCTGTCAGAAACCAACATTAGTTGAGGCATCATTGAAATCCAAGAAGAACTGGACAGCTGTTTCGACCTAGTTCATGACTCTCCAGCTTTGCACACCCATGACTCATCAAGAGGTTAACCCCTTATACAAGTTCATCCCCTTGACTGTTCAACCACAGGATTGGAACTGCAACAGTTTGCGATTTTTAACTTCCATCTGTTAGTGATATAGTGCTGCCACAAACTTATGACAGATTTACACAGAGTGGTTTGATCAGTTAAGTGACCACTGTTTTACGAACAATACAGAATGTTTGGATGACAGTTTCTCAGGTCTACAATAATGCAATATCACAATAATACTTCATTTTTGACAGGAACTACCCACCAAGAGTTTGTTGACACGTTGAATTTCTCAAGTGGCGAATTCCGGTTTTCATCAAGAAACTTTTATATATGTATATATTATTACAAAAGTCTTAAATTCAACGTTGAACTAGTCGTTTGAGTAGATTACGCTAGTATGGCGTAAAAAACAAGTTACTAGGATATTTGTGTGTCCCAAAAGTACAAAGCTCAGATTATTCTTCTATCTTAGCTGGATTTTTTTTAAAATTTCCATTCACTTTCTGAGTCATCAAGAAAGGAAATACCGTCGCTGCAGTATTTCCAGATGCTAAAAAGAACCACTAAATATGGCTTATTACGTTTGCTTAGCGCATTATTGATATAGGTATAAAACTTGGGCATTGTGGTAGAGTATAACTCCATTATAGATAAGATTTTATTTTGATAAAATCACACAGTGGTGTTATATTAACTGATGATGTTTTGAGCACAAACTATTGCCACTCATAATCATATCAAGTCACTTACACAACTTTCTACTTCATTTATATACACGAGTAAAAGTGATGATTAGACATTTGAATAAAATCAATATAAGATAAAGTACATTCAGAAATAACTACATTAATGTTATCAATCAAATACAGTAAGATGGGAAATATGACGAGTTTCTATGGTCAAAATAAGTAACTTGTTAGAATGTTGTAATATGCTTGAATTGAAATAGCATTTTAGGATTATTTATTATCCTCCTCTGATTTGAGTGGTAGTAATATCTTCTATATCTCTGGCATTTGTGTTGAGTCATTTCTGTTGAATGTGTTGAGTGTAGATTCGATGAAAAAGGCAGGATTCAGTAATTAGTCTCTGTTTCTGTCTCCACCTGCCTATAGTACTTTTTAGAATTTTAACTCTGTCTCACCCGCCCTATTTTGTGATTGTGTGTTAATGCATGTGGAGCAATTGCTGAGATTTTTCGCTAAATTACTTATCTTCGTGGGTTCAATCATTCTTACTTTGGCTAAATTTTTATGTTCTGACAATCTAACTACTTCTGATCTACTAGTCTGACAAAAATAGTTAATCTCACTCACAGTCATGTCAAGGTATTTTGTAAATTATATTATTTTGTTGAATTGAATCCACCGGGTTTTTTAGCCTATAGAGCTTGTCCTATCTGAGTGAGTTTGTAGGTTTGAATGCTACTCTAATTCCTGCTTTATTGCGAATCCTACGTAGGCAGGGTTTCAGATGTCCCCTCCTTATATGGTAAAACTGTAGATGCCTTATATTCTTTCTTATTTATGTTGTCATTTTTAGTTTCACCTCTTATTTTTATTTTGCTTTAGTGCAGTCATTGCATCATTATTGTTCTTCAGAAACAAGAATATTTCATCGACGTACGGGTTATAAAATCCCTAAATTGATAATAACAATTCTGAAATGTTGTGGGATGTTTGAGGGCAGTCGGTAGGAAGCCCTTAACTTAAGGTTTCGTGTTTCATGGCATATCTGAAATCTTGAAGGAACTCATTTCCTTTCTGAGATTCGAACCCAAGTCACTTCATGCTGTAGTCAGAAATATAATTATTGTGCTGATGAGTGCCAGGAAGCACGAAATCTAGGTCCAACCATCTAAAAATAATTCAAAGAATGACATACTAACAAGCCACTAAGCATATTGGCCACATTCCAAACTTGTGTACACCTATGCGCAGGACTACACGCATGACAGTAATTACTTACTATCTATTGTTCAGCGTCTCTGACACAGCGGTAGGATGCTCGCCAACCTCCTGCCAACGCACTGCTTTACCTCGCTAAGCCACTAATAAGACTGGTAAAAATGGAAGGTTTGACATCAGGCTAGTAACCCCATCCCGTGAAAATAAGCACCACTGCTACTGAAACTTCAAGCCTCTAGCTTGAGGCCCTATGTTCCACTGGGAACTTAAAGGAATAAAGCAAATCTAGTGTCCAATCAAAATAACATCTTCCAACAGTGTCGTGGTGACTTTATAGTCTAGTGTGGTTCACCTATGCTGTTTCTTCTTCACTGTTAAACAAGTTCTTTTGCAGAGGTTATTCAAATTGTAATTCTTTAACTACCAAAAGACTAGTGATTAATTTTTTGATCAAATAACACTTCTTTCTTCCCCTTTGTTTTTTGTTTAATAAATAATTACTGAGAGATAATTTCTCCCATCATCTTATTAAACCGTGATACAACCTTTTTACCTCAACTAGAATGACTCGTTGGTTACGCAGACTATGTAAAAGCAACTATGTTTATTCGTCATTTTCACTATTACCGCTTATTGATCTTACTGTTAACTAATTCATACAGTTGACCTGAAATCCACTTAAACATAGCAGTATAAAATGTCTCTCAGCTGAATAATTTTAGTAATTTAATTTTAAAGCCTAATAAGAAATTATCAAAATGTTAATTATTCCTCACATCGAAGTAGACACAAAAGTCAGATTTAGCTGCGACAATAACTTTATAATTGGCATTACAGGAAGTTGAAAACACAGCTTAGATAATCAATATCCGACTGAGTGCATGACCTTAAAGGTCCATCAAAATAAGCCAATCAAAAATTACCCAATCAGTTTATTATAT